ATATATATATATATATATATAATTATTATTATTATTATTAGCAATATTATTATTATTATTATTATTAATATTATTAGCCCGCCTGTTTATTTTTTCCCCAATTTCTGTTAAAAGAGAGAAGATTTCTTTATTAAAAAAAAAGTTACACCTTCAGTACACCCTACTAGAACCAGTTTGGATCCCTTTTTTCTTCAGAACTGCCTTGATTCTTCATGGCGTAGATTCAACAAGGTACTGGAAATATTCCTCAGAGATTTTGCTCCATATTGACATGATAGCATCACACAGCTGCTGCAGATTGAGCTCTGGTGACTGTGGAGGCCATTTGAGTACAGTGAACTCATCGTCATGTTCAAGAAACCAGTCTGAGATGATTCACGCTTTATGACATGCTGCGTTATCCTGCTGGAAGTAGCCATCAGAAGATGGAGACACTGTGCTCAGAAAGGGATGGACAAGGTCAACCATGCCACGTTCAAATGCGACTAAATCGCCTTTCTTCCTCATTCTGATGCCGCTTTGAACGGCAGCAGATCGTCTTGATCATGTCTACATGCCTAAATGCATTGAGCTGCTGCCATGTGATTGGCTGATTAGAAATTTGTGTTAACAAACAGTTGCACAGGTGTACCTAATAAAGTGGCCGGTGAGTGTATATTCCGTTTATATCTCTAAAATGTATTTATTAGTTGCTCATTTTTCCTACAGGTTATGTCTTTCATTTCTTCTAGAGCAATCTGTTCTGGATTTGTCTTGGAGAGGTTTTTATTTTTTTACTCGTTCTTGCAAGTGGAAATAATTATTTAAAATGATTTACTGTGACCCGTGAGAGACGTGCATGCTGAGCGCAGTGCGTGTGTGTGTGTGTGTGTGTGGTAATGGACGCAATCAAAACATTGGCTGAAGTCTATAATAACAGCGAGGTGTTTAATAAAGACTAATCACAGTGGAATACACTCACTTTTAGGATGTTTGCTGGCGATGGAGGGTGTGTGAGCAGGTGCAGTCCACACACACACACACACACACACACACATACACACACACACACACTGCTGTCATGTACCTGCTAAATGAAGCACACAGAAGTTCCAGACTGTAAGCAGGTTTGGTGTGAGTTAAGAAGCTCTCGCTCGCCTCTTGTTGTCTCCTGCAAGCAGTTTTCCCCACACAAATACTTTATTGCTGTTTATTCAGCAAGCTCCTCTCTTTTTTCCCGTCGGCCTGCAGTATTTTATGCATATGGAGAAGTTTGTTTGAAAAGTGCTGACCTCTGTGATTGCTGGTAATTTATTAGAGGACTTATTTTGAAATGATGTGTGGAATAGTAATAAGAGAGAAAAGAGAAAGATGAGGAGTGTGTTTCGCTTTCTGAGCAGCATCACACCTGCACTTCACTCTGCTTTATCATGCGTGTGTTTAGGAGTGTGTGCGAATGAGAGTGTATGGGCGTTTCCCAGTGATGGGTTGCAGCTGGAAGGGCATCCGCTGTTTAAAACTTATGCTGGAATAGTTGGCGATTCATTCCACTGTGTTGACCCCTGATTAATAAGGGACTAAACTGAAAGAAAATTAATTTGTTTCATCAAAATGAAACAAATGATTGAATGAATGAATGAATATCTGGTACTGTTGATAAAGTCATCTGTTTATGCATGTGCATATGAAATTTAATCAAATATATTTTTATTCATTCTTTTTTTTCTGATCAGTCCCTTTATAAAACCAGGGACGCCACAGAGGAATGAACCGCCAACTATTCCAGCATATGTTTTACACAGCGGATGCCCTTCCAGCTGCAACCCATACATTGGGAAACATCAAATACATATATATTTGCTGTATTATTATTTTTAAATTTACCAATGATGGGTTGCAGCTGAAAGGGCATCCGCTGCGTAAAGCTTATGCTGGAATAGACGGTGGTTCATTCCGCTGTGGCGACCCCAGATTAATGTAGGGACTAAGCCTAAAAAAAATGAATGAATAAATTATTATTTTCAAAATTTGTTTTATTTGTTCAAATTATTAGAAATTACTCAATTAACTGGAGCGGCACGGTGGCTCAGTGGTTAGCACTGTCACCTCACAGCAAGAAGGTCACTGCTTCAAGTCCCGGCTGGGTCAGTTGGTGTTTCTGTGTGAAGTTTGCATGTTCTCCCCGTGTTGGCGTGGGTTTCCTCCGGGTGCTCCGGATAGCACATGCGCTATTGATTAACTAAGTTGGCTGTTGTGTATAAGTGTGTGTGTGAGAGTGAATGAGTGTGTATGGGTGATTCCCAGTACTGGGTTGCAGCTGGAAGGACATCCGCTAGGTAAAACATATGCTGGAATAGTCAGTGGTTCATTCTGCTGTGGTGACCTCTGATAAATAAAGGAACTAAGCCAAAGGAAAATGAAAGAGTTAATTATTATTCGTCAGATATAGCAAATTAAATGAATGAATGAACGAATGAATGAATTAATAAATAAATACATATCTTATGAAATCATCTGTTTGCATATGTTTATGAAATCAAATCAAATGTATATATACAGTACATTTGATAAATAGCGATGTGGGTAGCGCTGTCACCTCACAGCAAGAAGGTCGCTGGTTCGAGCCTCAGCTAGGTCAGTTGTCATGTCTATGTGGAGTTTGCATGTTCTCCTCGTGTTGGCGTGGGTTTCCTCCAGGTGCTCCGGTTTCCCCCACAGCCCAAACACATGCGCTGTAGGGGAACTGGGTAAGATAAATTGACTGTAGTCTGTGTGTGAATGAGTGTGTATGGGTGTTTCCCAGTCATGGGTTGCGGCTGGAAGGGCATCCGCTTTGTAAAACAAATGCTGGATGAATTGGCGGTTCATTCCACTGTGGCGACCCCGAAATAATAAAGAGACTAAGCCGAAAATGAATGAATAAATCTTTGATGTATTTGCTGTACAGT